AGTTTTAAGTTTGAAGTTTGAAGTTTCCTAGTTTTTAAAAAAATTGTTCATCCGAGATGTTTACAAAAACCGACCATGTTATTAAGCAGGACGCTTTCTGCAGAAAATGGTTTCCAGAGACAACTGTTTGTACCGTTACATAGACAGCGTGATGTTGTTCTTTCAAGGTATGTATTTGTTTCGGAATACATAATGGGAAGTAATTAGTTCGCTGATGTGCTCTCTATATGTGTTTACTAATGCGGCTGCTACACAAGGTACTAACAAAAAGTATCACTCTTGGTAGATTATAAAATTGATAATATTAATATTATTACGTTAAGATAAACAAGATTACAAGATAAAATATTTTCTTAACATTCGACTCGCGTCGGTCGAAATGTCGGTGCAAAATAAGCTGATAATGATACGTTTTTAACGAAAATTGAGATATATTTTTTAAGAATAGAAACTCTCTTTTCATACCTCAAAACAGTTGAAAAATGCGACGAAGTTATATAGAAAGTAAGTAAAATACATCGAATTATACATATGTACATTGGTTACATGCCTTGATCTTTCGTAATTTTTCTTTTGATGGAAAAGTTGCAGCTCTCTTAATAGATTTCATTTCCGCTCATTTCCGCCTCTTGACCTTAAACCGAATCGAAAGAAATGTAACATTGTAAAACATTTTATTTGTAACGTTTAAAACATGTTTATCGGCTGATGTCGTATGTTCGCAATCAGAAATTTCACATATATATTCGACATGTATATTCGAAGTTCGTAAAATTAGCAACTTTGCAGATTGTAATATGTTGTTTTCCGAATCGACTGTCATATCAAACAAATCGGTAATCCGACGTACTTGAAAATCAGATTCGTTGAATAGATGTCCCGTTTTTATCTCGTCTAGAAATAAGTTGATATTCGCAAATTGTTACTTTGCAAGTTGAAAATCCATGGGATTATTTGCAAAACGGACAAAATTTTTTCCTTTACACACTATTGCTTTTTTTTTAATTTTTTTTTGTTGCTTCTCATTAGAGATCACTTTTATTGATTGATATTACATCATGTTATTTCTTTATTAAGAGAACCATAATATTCTCGAATAAAATAATATCGAATTCGTTACGATTGCACTGTAAATGTTGCTTTTTACGTGCAGGACTTACTGTCAGCATATATATAATACAGACATTAAATTACTACATTGAAGTACGTAGTATCATTAGAAAGTGAATTCATTAAAATTGCATTACTAATTATTTATGTAATTATAAGTAATATTATAATTATTAAAGTAAGTATTAAAGTAGTAAAGTAAGTAAAAATTATAAGCAGTAATTATAAGTAATAAAGCAACAAATTATATGTTAGATCTTAGAAAATAAAAATTCTCTACCTCGTTCTTAACAAACAGCAGTTAAATAAAAATTCAATTTCCTTGTTACACGTTTAATAAGTTAAATAGGTTATATTAAATAATGAAATAATATAAAATAAATAAATAATAAAATAAATTAAATAGGTTAACTTTAAGAAGTTATATAGGTTAACTTATGAAGATTAAATATTGTTATGATTAACTTAACAAGTTAAAATTAATCCAACAGCACTGTCAAAATCCCTCGCATTTGCTTTTTCTTATACTACTAACTCGCTTCTGTCATAAATCAAAGAAAAAAAAAGGTTGATAATCAGACTATTCTAAGGTTCATCAGAATATGCGAGGGTCGAAACGTTTGACAAAGCGAATTAACATTGCATGTAGACGCATCGATTGCATAACCGCGAGAGAATTGTGTGCGTTATACTTTACTGTCACTTATTCGAAACGCGGCCGGTGACTGGCTCCCTGCCTTATTAGAAATACGCATAACTTACAGGAAAGCTTCATCGCGAGCCTTGAGTCAGCTATACATTTTCGAAAGAAAAAAATAGCATCGGCCTATTTACTTTTACGGAAGATTCGCGCAACGCCAGGCACACGTCACTTGTCATCAGCTGATTTCTTGCTGTGCTTCGTAGAAAGACCTTGACCCCGCGACGTGACCTTATTCGCCCACTACGGTTACAAAACGCACTGTCCGTGAGAACATCCAACCCCCCCTAAACGATCACCACTTTCTAGGAACAGCTAAAATATCTGGGTCAACGACCTCTCCGGACTCGGAACTCGTGTTTGTTTCGTCCACTGTTCAACTGCTCTTCATTTAAAAAATCGTACGCTGCTGGACAAAAACACGTACGAGATACACCTATATCATTATCATTGCGATAAGAGTCTCGTTTTCATTGTATTCGCGCAGGAACTCGTTCATTTTCTTTTGGAGTTTCGAACGGCCGTAGAACAGAGCTGGAGAAAAAATTCATCGATCACCAACAATTTATTAATTATATTAATTATATATATAATATTATATTATATTATATTATATTATATTATATTATATTATATTATATTATATTATATTATAATATATTATTATATATTAATTATATTATTGTTAACCTGTTGAGTCAATTCCTAAGAAGCGTTTATTAGATGTTGTACAACAAAAAAGGTGACCTCAGTAAATATTAACGCTATGCCGTCCGCAGATCTTAGATATGATTCTTTCGTTTGACGCCAGCATAATAGCTTGGAAATTTTAGATTTAAAACAGAAATGTCGAAGATGGCGGTAATATAAATTCCTAAAATTAAGATATGTCGTCCAAGAATTTTCGTACTTAATTCTTAAACAAGCACGATGCTATAGTTAGTTCGCTGCCTTTTAACACCCAAGAAATATAGTTCAAATGTTATTTCAGTCTTTTTAACCCTTTGCAATCGAAGCCATATTAACTGTAAATTTAAATTGACCTTCCCGACTTACGGTATTTCCATCTTAATGACAAAGTGCATTTTATGCGCATGAAATTGAGTCTTGTGACTCGTACAACAGTTAGACTTTTAACAATTCCTTACACGTAAGCTTTGTTATTATAAAAATTATCTTGGAACGTGGTGTAACAATTTTCGTGGTGCCTCGGAGTCACCACTCGAGTGCAAAGGGTTAAAATGCCACCAAAGTGGTACCACCGGCATACGACAGATAGTTTTTGCATGGCACCGGCGTGGTGCCATCGGACGGCATAGTGTTAATATAGCGTTCAATAAAATATTATTTTTTAAACAATTGCTTCTTTTTAGTAATGTCCTATCATATTGTCCGATCAAGATCAGCACATTTTTACATTATATTCTTGAACTTTTTTCGTGCATGAGATACAAGCTCAATGTTTATTATGCTCGCAAACTATTTATTGTGATTGAGGACTCAGAAGTATTCGAAAAAGCAAGTCAATCACATTTCTGATAATGTATCCCATTTATTTAAATATAGATCGCGAATACTGGCGGTTTGTTTAAATATTTATGATTCTGTATCTGCTACCCCTTAGATAGTATAAATTTGCCAACGTAATTACAAGGATAACAGAGCATCTAGATAGTAAAATGTTTCAGTAAAATGGAAGTCCTATATTTGCAAGAAATGTTTAACACTTTATCATTTTTCTTTAACAATNTAATGAATTAACGTGATTTCCTCGAAACGACGTGTTTCAAACTAAACGTTCTAATGGCGCAATCTACTCTTATTGGATTTTCAAGGACTACATATAACGTAGACTGTCATGCATAAGTAAACTGCGGATTTTCATGCGGAATAAAAATGTGCAGAAATTATCTGCATCGTTTGGAAGAAATAGAAACTATACATATGTATATCAAGATCACCCCTTTTCTTTAATCATTTTAATAGATT